TATAGAAATGTGACTTGTTCAACACATTCTTTTTGAGCCAGTGTGTTCATAATTATCCAGAAAACAATTTATTCAACAAATCATTCACCAAACCTCAAGAAATTCAACAAAAAACAAAAATGTGTATTATTCATGCTCCAGTTGTGATGGATATGCTACCAAATTCATTTAAAATGACTTGTGGTATGAAAACTGGAAATACCACGAATGTCGATACCACGAATCCGGAGATCGGTATCGCTTTTCTAATACCGCTATTCAGTATTACCGGAATCTCGTGCAAACACTATATGCACTACATTATTTGAGTTAGTCAATCCAATGAACAGTTTCGATATTATGCGATCAAAATGGTGAAAGTCAAGTGTTCATTTCTACAGAGTAATTGTTGATAGTGGGAAGTACGATATGATCTCTTTTTCAAAAGATGATTAAGGTTGGCATATGTGTTCGTTCAACTATTATTGCTACTTGTTCAAAAAATACTGGTTTGATTATTCCTTTGATTTGCATGCGCATTGGTCATATCAATAGCGTTCCAATTACTTTATCGCTTATATNGAGGACTATTCCATTTTCTCTGATGAAAAGGAATAACACATCAACGAACAAAAATCACTAGAATAATTCAGCGTGATGCGGGGACGGAAAAAAGTCGTAGACGGGGAGAATCGGGACGAGCTTTTGCAGTCGGGGACCCCAAAAATGTGGTCGCCTCAAAAACTGTCGGGGACGGGGATTCGGTGACGGACACTCCGAAATTCCCCGATCCCCGCATCACACTAGAATAATTCGTTTAATTTTCCAATCTCTTATTCTTTGGATGGAATCAGTGCAAATCTGCTCATCTATAGACATGATCTGTTCATTCGCTGAGTGATCCGACTGAATAGAAAACAATAAGTTCAATGGGGCGGAAAAACTTATTGTTTTCTATGCAGTCGGATAATTCAGCGACTAAATTGCGAACACATCGAGTCCATATCGTATTATTATAAGGACGATTTCTTGCACACCAAGTTGTTTGATGGAAATCAACGATAAGCAGGCGTTTGGCAATTGGTTCTTCTATATTTTCACAAAAAATAAAACCTGATCGCAAAAAAAACAACAGCATTATCGAGATGTGAACAAATATTGCAGTAATGCTTAACAAATCAAATCAATCGCGTTTTGCCCACGTCTTCAGTGACTCAACAGAGCAGATCTTTTCTGAATCAGCTGCAATGCGTTATTTGGATCAAGCAAGCATCGATAAAGTGATTTCCCTTGATGTTATTTCATCACATTCCATTGAGGAACGGGCATTGATATATCATATCTGTGACATTCATCAATCTCAGTTTCGTGAAAATTCAACATCAAATAATTGCCTCCAATCAACTAATCGCTGATCACAATCAAATAATTGCCCTCCACCTAGAACACTGTTTATGATCTTGATGAAGAACGGCATATTTTGATCATCCGGCAGATAACGTCATTTCTTATGCGAAATTGTAAATCATGAATTTGTCCATTCCTGTTGTTAATTCGTAAATTTTTGAATTGTGAATGGGAATTTCGATCAAATTCAACGGAGTGTATTCTGATTAAATTCAATCGATTCAACTAAATTCAACTGAAACATGAAAATCACCGCTACTCANAAACACTGCATATGAATGAGGGTTCTATTCCTAATCAAACGAATTAATAATGCAATTATTGCCGTTGCGATGGTGAAAATCGCTAGGAATTCTTATAAATTGTGGACATTGATCCAATCAGAAAAGTTGTATCCATTTCCAGCATTAGAACTGATATGCACGGTAATATTACCAGTTGTGAAAGCCAGCAGTTAGTTGCAACTAATGGTTACATGCTGATTCAGAGAAGCAGAACAGATACTGCCTTCGTCTCCTTCTGAAGTTGTGAAGATTTCGACAAATTCGGAATGATAATCTTATAGCGGTACCCAAATAACGATGATCAAAGAAAATTTAAACAATAATTATAATCTGAACTAAATGATTCTACCGCAGCTAGAAAACAGTGGTTACACGTTAGAATGCCATGAATATTTTAATCGCGTTTTGCGGATCTTTATTGATGACATTGCTCTGAATAAATTTATAGACAACATATAGTGATAGTGACTGATAGTTGACGTTGATTGTTTATTGAACAGTCAATCGATTCATTAGTTACGTTTGACTCTAAGAATAACTCCAAAAAAGCACGAACGTAAGGGAACTCTAAATCGAACATCGAACTGCTTTAATCCTGAGAGTGATTTCTTTTTTCGCTCATCATGACATGATCTTAGCCATCAACATTAGAATCTATCAGATGGTGCTTAGCCATTTGAAATTCGACAGGAATTCGAATGAATTTTGTTTCCGAAATTCATTTAAGTCAATGGTTGATTGACATATTGAAGATGGGAATGAAGATATCTACGAGATGAATTATCGCATTGTGTTCATTATTGCAGCGACAAAACTTTCGATTTTCTTAACGCATCTTCTTCCATTGTTTAGGATGATGGATAGGTTCTCTTGGAAGCTGATCAGCGTTTTTTTTGTCTGATCACTAGATTGAAATGAGATCCATCATTACGGAACCGCAAATGGAAGACACCCTGTGTCTCGTGCAGACCTCGTCGAGAGTCTCTCGCATTCTAAACTTCTGGTTTTTATTCGTTCTCTTGCCACGTTCAAATCGAGATTCTTTCTCTCATCCATGATTTACGGACAACAATAATATTCAAGAGAGATTAACATCGATCTTAGTTGACAATACGCAAATAATTCCTGCGAAACTTGTTCACACTGATGATAGTAGTAAAATGCAAGCAGAAACATATGATCGAAATGGAATAATAATAATAACAATAAATGTGTTTCATTGCGATGTTCAATTTTACTTTCAAACAATAACTCGCATTTTAATCGTTGTTTCAGCATATTCAAGAGAGATCGCCATCGATCTTGGTTGATGTGACAAAACAGTGTTCTGGATGCAGATTATTTTCAATCATTCAAAAATTTAGTCGTTTGACACTTTCGATGGCCCATAATCCAGCAATACCATTGCTGTGCCCTTAGCATAAATTCCATTCGTTCATGCAACGAAAACAATTTAATCATTTTCATGAAGCTAATTTATAAAGATAATTAATCATTTAATCATTTTCATTAAGTTATAACGACCTAATAACTCTTAATGACAATCTCTCCAGCCACAACGCGCTATCGGAAAATTATGTCTTCCAGCAATGAAGCTTGCTTAAAATAGTCGCGTATTGTGTGGCACATTGGATTAGTTCATCCGATGGCGTCAGATTTCATTTGCAGCACTTTGTAGCTTACTTTTACGGACGATCTAACGAATTTGTGTAATTTCGCAATTTATACTTCAAAATTGATAGTCAATAAAACACAATCGATTAGGTGTGATAAAACAGACGAATTCTGCGCAGAACGACTTATTGTGGGGCATAGATCTTGAATACTGCCGTACTCAAATGAGCGACATTGAAATTATTTCCATATATATCCGAATTAAGTTTGAATCCAATTGTGACACAATTTCAGATTGTTTCGCCTGCAAAGTGGTCGTTAAACTTCAACGCATCAGAGCTGCGCTTCAAGTCAGGCGTTACCATCACACGAATTCACGATTTTCAGCAGAATTACTTTTCACAATCTAAAACTTTACTTATCAATAAAATCCCATGAATAGTAATGATATAAGAATGCGAATGCGTATTTTCAACATCGTATCAATAATGACAATTTTTCGATTGTGTATTTGTTTAATGAACACTCCTTACAGCTATTCGAGTTTACCTATTCGAAAATTTTATTGCATCCAAGGACATTCGTTCATCTAAATGCTTATTCATCTGATTACCTTTATTGCGTCCTTTCATGTCATATTAATACTAATCCGATTAGATAAAGCCTGCGAAAATGATTCTCATCAGTGTTTCTTATTTTTCACATTTCTTCAACCCTCCGTTCTCGTCATAATCTCTTGGTCACTCTGCCATATTTCCAAACGTGACACACATTTGCAAGATATGTCCGCAGCTTGCTGACTCAACCATTCTTCAAACATCTAAACAAGAGAAAAGGCGTTAGGTGAAGAAAAGACGTCATGATGAATAGGAAGAGAAAAAACACCGTCAGAAAACTGGGCCAAATCAGCATTTCACCCTTTTCAGAAGTCCTTACAAAACCTGTGACCCTCCTTGCGTGCGTTCATCTCTATCATCAAGTCGATCCTTCCTCATCATTACATTTCGATAATCTTATCGTTGTTTGTTTATCTAACCAACTCGAGTTGTTATAAGTTCGCATGTGAATTTGCGATTCTCAACTGTCATCATCAATCGGTGACCTATGAGTATTAAATTCCGATATTTCACCCGACCGTCTCAATTAATGATTCTCTTTAATAAGCACTATCCAATTTGCACCTTTTCACATTCTTTTTCAAGTGGTTCATCGCTTCAGTGGAATGGTCAATGCTTCGAAACGATCCTTCTTCTTCTCGTTCACTTGAAAACTCAAAAACATCCTTCGCCAACAGCAAATCCAAAAATTATCGTCCTTCTCATCACCACCGACGTCATTACAATCACCCCACCAAATTCATAAATACAAACAAACCCATCATCACACAATCAATCGCCAGCATTATTCGTTATTCATCTCGTTTATCGCGCACCTTATCTTCTCTTTTCTTGCCTTCTACTCGATTGTATTGTTTCCCATCAACATCATTTCTCACAAATTCATTTTTTCCAGTTTTATCCGACGTTCAATTGTTTCTGTTTTCAGAAACGAGCTGACCAAGTGCGTGTCGATTGCCACACAGTCGCTAAATAATCACTATTCGTTCATCGAACCTTCAGCCTTCGGACTCTCCTGAGCCTCGTTGACAATTAATCTTCTGCTTGAATGGGATCGTTAACAGAATCACAGTGATTGACATTTCACATTGTTTGTCGTATGCTCCACAAGTTGAACGTTGTTCAACGAATATGTGCGATGCTGTGCTACTTATTACTCAAATTCACTGTTTTACTCACTCTTAATTATTCACTACTTCTGCTCACAACATCGTTCGTTTTCGTTAACTCGCAGCCTTCCTCTCTTCACCCAACATCTGATCATCCAATATCACAAGCTGAATTTTTTTCTAAAATCCAAGCGCTGTCTCGGTCAAATGTCAACCGCTTCGAGAAAGCACCCAAACTGCAACCTCCTCTACGATACGATGATTATCACTCCCAACAGCAAGAACGGCTCTACCAAAACATTCCAAATCGGATTCCATATTCGGTTGCTGTTGGTGTGAATGTTGGTGACAATGGCGCTGACGCTGATCGGGATCTTAGTCCACTAATCGCTGATCAATCGCGTGTCCCCGCTCCGTCATTGAACCTACCGTCAAATGTTCGTGAAGCATGGTTATCGTCTAGGATTCATGAGATTCGACGACATCCTCAGAGTGCATCCTCATCTGCATCGAAGCGGACATTCCGACCGTACCGACAACCCAATGGTGTACCGTATATTCAGAACGCAGGAGCGTTGTTTCGACAAGCTCGTCATCCTGATGGCACTCCTCGGCTGCTAGATGCATACTCTAATCCGCAAGCTGATCCTCCAGGATATGAGCCACCGCCCAGTTACGATCCTACAGCATCAACAACAGCATTTTCGGGTTCCTGTAATCATAAAGATTGCATCAAGAACAATTCACTGATCAGTAAGATGGCTGAAGAAGAAGCTGAAGAAGGAACAGGATCGCATGAAAGCTACGGACGGCAGCCACCTAGCCGAACGCAGTCAGAATCTATTTCTACTGATTTGGAATCAACCGCTGGAAGTTACAATCCTCAACAACTGTTGTCGTCAAGAACTCAACCCCAAGAACTTGAGCAACCTGAACAGTCGGCATTCTCTGGCGGTGCTCAGATCAGTGATTATCTCCCATCGGATGAGCCAAGCACACAACCGAGTAATCCAGATATTCAGCGTGCCCACGAGGAAGCGTTATCCTCGTCTGCACCTCCACATGATATCAACATTCAGCAGCAATATCCAGCTCAACGAATATCCTATAGTCAGGGAGACTTTGATTCCCCGCAGCCAAAGGCATCCAGTCGTCTTTCCAATACAAGAACCAGTGGTTCTATCAATACCAGGTATCCTTCAAGACCAACTGGCTCTGGTTATGGGTATTCTCAGCAACGAGGAAGCTACGGAAGTTACGGACCAGTACCTCCACCCCGAGGTGGCTATTCAGGAGCAACGTATTTCTTTCCAAGGCCCCGTTCACGAAATGATGGCAATCGTCCTTCGCCGATTCCCCAATATACTTATTACATGAATTACGTGCCAACACCGTCACAATACAGTGGTGGTGCTCAACTGAGTGATTACACCCATCCGCCTTCTGATACTTATTCTTCTCCACCGACTACTTCTTCGATCGTGTATAGCACCACTCCTGTGAATATTCCATCTAGTTCAATGAAGCCATCAACGCAGATTCCCAGAAGTCAAGTGAGTAAAATTTAGTTTTCTTCGAACTTTGTACATTCATTTTCCAAACTGATCCATTTTGGGGTGCTTATGATCTTATGTGACTATAATGGTACTTCTTGGAGATGTTGAAAATACTCGATTAGAATGGCTGTGATTATCCACATACTGCATTTTAGACTGTGATTTTACTTATTCACTTTCATCTCTCTTCTTTGCGACAGTTTTGTCTTCTGTTAATGTGCTCGTAAGAGAAGACAAAATCCTCATGGAATGTTTTCGGTTTCACAACTGACCAATCAATCAGTTCTACTGTTTGCATCGATTGATCGCGTCGCCACTTCCATTCTACGTTGAGGATATTGCGAAACATATCATAAGCGCTGTTAATCATTTTCTAATGGGATGACTTGATGATTCAGATTGCCTTGCATCGTCTTACAGTGTCAACTTCAATTTACATACTTCATTGATTGCCTGATTTTGAATCACTGCTTAATTATCACCAGTGAAATTCGTCATATCTCACTTTGCACTTTTTCCATTCATTTAATTGTCTGTCACAACACTAGGAAAGTGCTGCTGCTGTTGCCTAGCAATCAATGCCTGCAACGGATAGTTACAAGGTTAGAAATCCAACCATTTATTTTTCAAATGCAAATCTGTCGGAACTACGTTCACTGTCGTCACGGCAATGAATCAGATTCAAAACATTCCAAAGCCTCGGTCGAATTCGTCTAATAAAACGATGGTATATTCCATACATGTTTACTTTTCAACATTCGTCACTGAACCAGAAAAACAATCCTTAATGAACGTCTGTCCAGCGAATCTGCAAAGCAGCGCACTCGTATCTCCTTATCCGATCGAAATCATCACCAATTTCGCATTGAATGATCGTTTTAATTGGGTCTATGTCACTCTCTTATCGCATCTCATCATTGTGTTCCGAATCAGTTCCGTTTGGCCATCGAACGGATTTTAGTAATTGGTGTATAAATTTACCGTTAAGATTAGCCAATTAACGATGCATTTCGCACCTCAAATAGGACGTTGATGTTTTTTTGATTTGATGAAGGCGAAACATAGGAGCAATAATTTCATATTAATATACACGAACAGTACACTAACAATGATGAATGTTGTTTGTTGAGAAGAATTTTGTCGCTCTTTCCAGGGGCAATTGCCAGCGACAGAAAAACGAATTTCTTTCTGCAGTAACGATTCTCAAATATTTCCAATTTTTTCTTCATTAGGCTTCATCGTCCGCCATTCTGCTAATTTTTCTCACATAAAATAGCCATCTGAACCCTCATAATTAGGACAATTCCACTGATGAAAGTAAATTTTTTACTAACGACTAGTGAACAAAGACAGTTCGTTTATGCATTGAAACAAGCAAAGTGTTTTCACCATTGTTTTGGAAAAGTTCAAAATCTCTGACATANTTTCCATTCGTTATGTTCTTGTAAAATAAACTTCACTTGACACAAGCATACGAGTAAAAAACCATATAATGATTGTAAATGTCAAAAATCATGCAGCAGCTTTTCCATCGAATTGAATGAGGAGCGATTTGTTTTGACAATTCGCAAATCGAAGTTTGATTTACGAATATTCATAACAAATTGAACATTTTGTGCAAAAACTGATCGAAAAGAAATGTGCAAATGTGATTGTAGTGTATTGCAGTGTGCTACGTAATCGAAGCGTCATTCAACTGGTATCACGAATGCGTTACACTAATGTTTGTATTAAAACAGAGTCATTAAGGATCCTTCTAAACAAATCCAATCATTGATTTCTGACGTCTGCCGTTGTAATGTACACTCAAATGAACATTCACTTTTAAATCCTCTACCGTTCAGTACTCTTGTTCTGCACCGGTCAAGTCTTCGATGATTATCTCATTTTTGATTCTCCGAGATGCTAACAAATTTTGTACAGTTAATCCCAGAGCAAGTATTATCGTCTGATAACGTTCCCCTGAATTCAAACTTATTTCGTAGGTGAAGCATCATCACATACGAAGCATCATCACATTATTGAGCATCGATGTCAAAGTGATGAAAGAACAAAAAATTTGCAAACAGTATATCGTATGGAACAAGTGCTTCATGCATTGTCAAATACATATAATTCTGTCAATATGCATTGAACGTCTCGAAAACGTCTCTATATTTTCACCAGCATATCGAATTCTCTGTTGAAAGTGAGTCCGTTTTCCTCTCCTCATCACTCAATTACCTTAATTGATTGATCGACCTGTCCGTCTATACAAGCGAAAACTTTTTTCAGTTGTCTGAATGCCGTAATTGGATACATTTAAGTTGTTGGTCTTTGACAGACGTGTTTTTGTTGATCACAAACTGAATATGTGAATGCAAAATACTCCAATTAACAACGCATTTTGATGACGCCAATTAACATACAACCGAAGGAACGCATTTTCGTCTGAAGAATAAGATTCTATTTTGTAGAGATTGTTTGACGAGAATTTCAGTGAAACTCAGACAGACAAAAGTTATCATGGTGGTTCACACCGTCGATACAATGACATCGACAATACAATTCATAAATCTGAAACAGCCCTTTTCTCAGCGTCAGATCGTTACCTGCTCTTAGGAATCCTTTAGGTCGCTATTTACCAGTGACTTGTTTGCGAATAGCACTGACTGATTGCTTGCACTGAACAAGAAAAGAACGCTTTGAACAATTTCTCAAAATTCATGTCCATATGAAGCTTGGAAATGCTTTCTATTAGCTTGACGACAACAATTAAGAAAACTTCTTTTCTGGTTGTGATGTTAGCTTTTGTTGCTGTTGCGAAGACGACAATTGATAATATAGTTTATCCACACTAATAAATAAGAACGATAATGATGATTGGGTAGAGTGATGCTACAACTAACGACTGCGAAAGATGCCAACGATGGCGACTACAACACTACAATAACTGCGAGTGNNTATAGAGAGACATACAAGAAACTGTAAACAATAAACAAGAGATCATAGATTTATCTCAATATCACCCTTCATCAGCTCATTACATCTGCAGATTTCCGTTTTTGTCATATTTTAGCGCACAAAGACAGTGCGCATGTGATCGTTTTGATTAACTGATTAAGATGATTAACGCTGTCAGTGAGTAATTTACTCTGACAGTGTTATCGCGCTAACAGTCATTATCTATGAGGTGTTCGATTCATAGAGCCATCTGTCAACGTCACTAATCAATTCAGAAATTAACTTGACGGATAGGTGAAGTGAAGGTGTGATCAATGAACCATATAAATCTAATTAAGTGTTGCTCTTAAGTATACCAATGATTATAAAGTCGTTTGAATTCTTGATGCTCTCATCACTTCGTATTTTCAAGTCAATCTCAATTCTGTTATAGTTCAGCTCCATGTTTTGCATCCCTATCACATTCATTTCACACTATTGACATGTGCCAACTGAAGCATGTTTACTTTCTTATCCATCAAGCATAGTTAAAGATTGTTAATTGGAACGAGTTAATTGGGAATACTTGCTGAATATCTTCTTTGAAGTAACTCGCAATTGTTCATAGAATATACGTTTATGAAAGTTTTCGAGTTTCATTAACAAGAAGAGCTTGATATGCGATGTAATCCAGGGTGATAAAAGGAATTGTCACACTAATGAAAAGATTCTTCTATGAAACGCAAAGAAATGGGTTATGTGTTCTTGGTGCAATCACATTGTTTTTCACGATTACCATCTTCCATTCTCGTAAATACACCATTTTGCATTCAATTCATCATTTGCTTTCAAATTCATATGTGTTGATTATCGCAGATGCACAACATAGATCATATGCTCACACACACACGATTTCGATGAGTTCATTTCTCGCATTACTTTTTCATAAGCTACTCATCCAAGTATTCACTAATTCACACACTTGCCAGTAAGCTAGGAATTAAATGCAGTCCAACTAACTTCCGTGATTCGGAACGGATTTCCATAAAAATTTTCGACGTCGAATTGTTCAAAAATCGTTCATCGTTCTTCATATTTTTCGAATAACGATTTTCAAATGTTTCTCCTTTCAGGTCCTTTCTGAACGCACGTTTTTGTGCCACTTTCTCTTGCAGCAAACAAATTGTCATTAACTTTACTTTTATTATTTCAGTTTTTTTCCGTTTCTTCCAAATTTTGAATACTATACAAATTTTGTGCACAAACAGTGAAGTGGACAGTTAAAAAATGAAAGCAGTGATCACATTCGAACTGTTTCCAGACCTTATCAGAAATCTGGAATAGCACATCTGATTGCGTAAATGAAAATAACATACTTGAGTAATTACAAGGGACGATAATCCTAGCTGATATTTTTTCAGTAATACTTATCACTGCAAATATAGTTGTTAACGTTTAAAGTAGCCCAAAAGACAAATGATCTCAGAAACTATTCGAAAGGTATTCCAATGTATCATATTTCTTGCTGTTAAATGATCGATTTGTCTAATGTTTCAAAATGAAGAAGTTCATGGAACAGGGTTCCGATCACTGAAAATTTCACTTGAATGAATGAAAACCAATCATGCTAGGAAGCTTAGCTCGGATCTGTATTCAATTCATTCTTTATCCATCTATGACAGTAACCATAATTTCACGTCACCGATTCATTAACGATTTTTCGCTTTGACATTCCCTAAGCGTTTACAACTTCTTGAATACGCTCCGTTTTATCAGTGGCATTTGCTGTGGAGGAGTCTTTGATCGCTTTTTTCTGTAGTATTCATTGAAACATCATTCAAACAATTTCGTTTTTCATCTCATTTCTTTTTTGTTGTTCCGACAGTGGAAGAATCTAGAGTATTGGTGTTGGATTGAGCGAAAATATTCCACGCAAAGAACTGGTTGGATGAATCTTCATGGATGTTTTGAAGAGAAAACGCTTTAAAGACAAGATGACCATCGAGAAAGAGTTTATATACAATGAAAGGGAAATGAGTGATATCGTTTAAGTGAAAGCGAAATCATCATCTGCGAGAAGATGATGTTGCTCGCTGCATCAAGATTTTCATAACCAATCTAATCAATTTGGATCCGGATCGTTTGACTATCTGATCATTTGCACCCCCAGTCCCAAAAAAAAATCTTCTTTTGTCGTTTTATAAGAAAACCTCTGATTCAAAATGATCTCAAAAACAAAAAAAAAACAAATAACTTTGAGTTGGATTTCACAAAACCCCTGCCCCAATGATAGTGGACGACCATGGTTTCGAGTCATGTAATGAAACTTGATTTCCTACAATCAAACAATTCAATCAACTATACAAGAATTTACCAGTAAATTTTGTATTGACTTAAATCCCTGTGAATCTTCCATCTCCATTGATTTCTGTATTATTTACCAACTTTTGCTCCATACCAAAGCAAAGTTTTCGAAAAGATGGATATCATACACCTTTTGGGCACTCACACTATTCGCTTTTGAAGCGAAGTCGAAATTTGGAAATTCTATGAGATGTGTGTGTAATATTTTATTACCCAGTTATTCACCTTGCCCGAGCATCTTCTGTATTCCGTAACCTTGTGTTTGTTGTTCGTTTCAATTTGAACATCAATCACATAATTCTCGTTTTACCGTTCTGAACTGATTTAATGGTGCAACCATAGGCGAATAAACATTTTGGTCGACAAACTGTACACTGCAGTCACCATCGTGTCGTGATTTATGACTTTATTTAATGATTATTTTACTTCGAAGGGACCTTACGCAAAGTGGGCAATAAATTGAAGAAGATACTGATAAAGAAGATGAGAAAAGAGAACACCTTCAGAATGGCTCAAGGCGAGAGCATAGAATGAGCATCTTTTCTCAAATACATCAAGAACAGCAGTCATCCAACTTACTCTGACAAAATAATTCCGAGTGAAGAAAAGAGTCCAAATGACTTTTTTTCTTTTGTTGCATAAATCATCACGAAGCATTCCGATAAATTCATTCTACATTATCATGAGAAGAGTATCTTCGATGGGTTACAAAGTGTTCGAAATCAAAGTCATAAAGACACCTCACTATGCATGTTGGGTGTTTGATTGGTGATTCACTATTTGCTTAATTGATTGAGCATTCGATCAACTGATTTTCGACTACTCCATTCATTTTGTTTGTCATACGATGACTGTGTCAGTTGCTCTGAGTTTTCGAAAAGTATCAAACCTCTCAAACAATGCTTTCAGCCAACGGAATCGACACCAACAAAAACAACTCGACGGAAATCTGTTCCTACTGAGCGTCCCTCATCTTCTGAATATCCGACAGAACCACCAAGAGCGGTTACTGATCGCAGTACAGGTGAACTGGGTATTTTTGCTCATTGCATTTTAAATATTCTGAACGTTCTGCAGAAACGGTCAAAAGTTAACTAGCTATTGCTTGAGTAGCGTTGCTGTTACATTCAATTCTTTTGCAATCTCCTAACTTCACCCTACGACTCAACAAACACCAAGTATCCCAAAATTTATGCCTGAAAATTGTTCTGGAGATGACTGACTTGGTTCTGCTTCCGTTTCAATTCATAAAAGTCATTTCGTTGCGACACCTGTATGAAGTCAATGCTCCTCATGTTTTACCGTCAGTACAATATTAGTCGCATTACAGATGAATATGATCAAGCTTGTTTTAGTGTCCAAGTATCATGGTGCTTCCACTTCTCCAAAACCATCACACACCGAACGTGCTTCATCGCTCGTTCCAGTTCCTCCGTCCGGCCATAGCAACGGAGCACCACCTGATAATTTCTCAAAACCAACCAAAGCTCCCGAATATAAACCCGGTCCTGCAGCTCCAAAATCATCTGCTGTTCCTGAGTATCCAGCAGCGATTCCGTCAACGAATGAACCTGTAACTGAACCGACGGATCCATATAATAATGGTATTTTTGGGGTGTATCAATTTTTTAAATACTTCATTGCATGAACTTTAATAACCCATTCCGGATAAATCCTGTTGCATGCCTCAAAATGACACAGCGCAATGCATGAGAAAGTAAATGCATGATCTCATCGCACATTCTATGTCCATTTCTCGTCCATTCTCTGTTTGTCGAATACATTCAGAAAATGCAACTGAATCGTGGCAGTTTCGCAAGCATCCCATAAAAAAACTACACTCTATCAAAACGATAGAGGAGCAACTCTGCGAATGTTACTTGAACAGTTGATCATTTTAAGCCGAAGTAGGTATGGAGAGCAGTACAGATTATAAAACACCAACAACCACTGAACCAATCACGGTTCCATCCAACACAACTGTATCAGAATGTCGTTGTCAACAATCTCTTAATACGACAGGTTGTAAATAAAATTAACGATTTTTCGTTAGAATTTATCACGATCGATCAGATCTGCAGCACTGTCCAGAACGAATCCCCATCTGACACTAATATTGCTCAGTTTCAATTAATGCACTGATCTTATCGTACGATTATTTTCTTTTCATTCTCGGAGTTTAATCACTTGAATCACTTATTTCTGATTTCTTTTCATTCTGGCATGTGCCATTCACCCATTCACCTTAATCATTGCTCATCCAATTTTCTAATTCACTTGAAATCAGCTATCGTAACATAAATTTGCAGTGCCAAAACCTCCTACAGAAACTACTGAATTACCTGAACAACCGGAAGTTCCGGCCCGAACGGAACGACCAGCGGGACCGGAAGTTCCGGCCCAAACGGAACGACCAGCGGGACCGGAAGTTCCAGCCCGAACAGAACAACCAGCGGGACCAGAAGTTCCAGCTCGAACGGAACAACCAGCGGGACTGAAAGTTCCGGCCCGAACGGAACGACCAGTGGGACCGGAAGTTCCAGCCCGAACCGAACGACCAGCGGAACCGGAAGTTCCGGCCCAAACGGAGCGACCAGCGGGACCGGAAGTTCCGGCCCGAACGGAACAGCCTACTCCACGAACACTTCACCTAGAACCGACTCTCGATGAAATGCAAACTCTGACACCTTCACAAACGCCCGAACAGCCCCAGAGACCATCGTTCGGATCGCAAATCACTACTACCCGGCCAAATCTTGCAGGTTCACCGGAATCGAGTATTCCAGAATTGGAGACACCATCGTGAGTGAATCTGTTTACATTCGTTCGTAATTTCTAAACCTCAAGGAAGTTTTTTCTTTTTCAGCAGATGGCGTGGGTCTGTTTTGATCGTTCACTTATTTGCTGTAGCTGAGCAACTTCTCTGATAATGTCCTCATGAATTAGTGCATCCTTCAAGTTTGATTCTGTTTGAGTCCTTAAGTTTTTGAGACAGTTGAAGCGCATTCAAAGCGAAAATTCTTATGTGCAATTATGATTCGTGAGTGCATGATGCATGAATATTTAGCCATCAACAACCATCACAGTTTCTGACAACTCCACGGGCCAGCCGACCTCGCACGACCACTTCAGCTGCCAGTAAAATCGTCCCGAATCGATTACGAGGTTCGTTTTTTTTCATATAGTGCCCCGTAAGCCTCACTGTAGAGTGTTTCCGCATTTTGAGCAAAACAGTTCATCGAAGTTCAAGACCATTGTCTGAAGTTCAAGACTCTGTCAACAGTTTCCATCACTATTTAAAAATCGATAAGTAACCGAATAGAAGATGCACGGTCAACAAAACAAACTCAAGATATCATGAAACGGATTGGAGTACATCTTTTCAGGATCTCCTTTTTTTGCAATCGATTGCTTCAATTTCTTCTCCCGAAAATGTTTCTTTCTCATTTGTCATTTCTTAATGCTCACTAGTGTCATTATTTTCCACTCCTAATTATGAATGATTTTTCAAGACTCAAATTTCAGGCAAAGCACATGTGATGTGCGAAGAAATTGGTTTACAATTCCGCATCACAACGCTGTTTCCGTTCACTGGACAGGTGTTTGCGCATGATCGGAAGCGAGTGCCTGGGTAATTCCTCACTTTTTAATCAATGCCGTCATATGAAAAGACTGCACTACCACGTTAAAATTATCCATTCCTACACTAGACCCATCAATTATCCTCCCGAATCGTTAATAGTTTCTATGGATCGTCGACATGAAAATAAATCGTTTTTCTTTGGTTGATATTATCGAAACGTTATTGTCTGCTCTAGTGAAAAGTGCATCGCTGAATTTATCCACTGTTAGANGCGTCATTTCTGCGAGAGTTTTTGCATTGAAACACAAATCTACGAGTGCGGCAAACGATCTTGATAATGATCAACTGTGGAATGTTGAGACGTTGAATGGAAACGTCCAAAAAATTGATAAATTTTACTAAAATTTCCACAAATTCGATAATAATATGCTGAAAGAATTATGCTTTGCCGCTAACGTTGAAGAATTTGTACTTCTTATGTCTTATATCAATTACTGATTGTGCTAAAAGTCGAGGGCATGTCAAAGTAGGGCAAAATCTTCGAAGATTTGATAGGAAGCTCGCCTGTATACATCATTATCAGTTTTGTAAGGGAATATTTGTTCGAAACGGTTGTCGTCCGAACTAGAAATCGCTTTTTCAGCTGCGTTCATACATTCACAGAAGCCACTTTGATCAATGTGACGATGCCATACCAGGAATGTGGAATCAAAAATAAAGGTTATCATTCACTTTTTATTGATTCATGCATGTTTTCATATGAAACTTACTGAAGCAATCGGCCTGTCGCGCTTCTTAATTCTTACAAACTATGACCCGAATAGTCTTGAAAATTCCAATTCACTTCTAACATATAATGTAGTCAGCGTTTCTCAAAATTAGTGAAAAAAATAACTCATGAACAGCTCGTGAATCTGAACGAGTTCCATGCATTGGAGTCTTACTTCGATATTAGCTCACTCTCAGATTCGATAATCATCAATGCTGTAATGAATATAGCGAGACGATACTGCTCGAATTACTGGACGGGCAGGTAAGCGAATCAATGCCGACAGAAATCAATGTATTGATGTAATTGATGATTTGAGGTGAGCAACGAGTCGAGACTCAATACCACATGCAGATAATTGTTGTCTTCGAACAAAAAGATGGCACATCGACAATTCAATCGTTCATCGCGCAATGTCAACATCAAAAGGTCCAATATCAAAAATCAACTATTCCCAGGCGAATTGAGGAAGCGTTGGAAGAGTGAGTTGTTTACGAGTATTCCTTCAGTCGTTCGCCATTCAACCAACGGATTTCTGCAGTTTCAGTTACCCCAAATCAATGTGTTGTTAAAATCATGAAAAGATGAGACGTTGTCATGGAATCATGAAACATGTTCCATGGTAGCCAGAGGGAATTGCTGAGTAGTCAGTTTGGCGGTGAGAGCATTTCACCGCTGAAATCAATTCAAGGTTGCATTTGGTCCCAACGAAACTGGAACAAAAAGCGCCGGTACCAGACTGCGTCATGCGAATTGTTAAAGAGGAAGACCACGGCCATGGTAGTGATGGCGAGGAAGTGAGCATGGTGGACCTTGGGCAACCGATGAGGATCGAGTGGCAGCTCGTTCCTGAATCAGGTTCTGCCAATTCAAACTGCTTCATGCTTGTGTTCATGCTTCATTTATTGATAATCGCTGAATGTAGCCTTCATAATCGAACGTATAATTTACTCAACATGAATCATTTTCAGATGCGTACGGTTTCCATGTTCGAAATTGTACAATACGTGATAAGATCAGTGGTGAAGAATATTTGGTTATTGACGAAAGAGGGTTCGATTTTGCTTCCTTTTTTTGAACGTTCCATTTTATCGTCCAGCCTGATTGTCTTTTGATCAGAGAAGATCCTATACGTTTTCTCTGTCAAGAGCAGAGAAACAAACGTACCGAGATTCCTGACATGATTATGAGTAGCCATTTTTTTTTCAACCAGAATCAGGAGATGGGTTCGAATGAGCCACAAGTTTCTTCCTTCTAGATTGTTGATCTGAGTCACTTACATTTTATCGGAATGCCTAAGAAATACGTCCACAGATTACATTGTATTGTGCAGATTGGTGTTCTAAAGAGAAATTTCAGATGTTCTACGGACATAAATATATTCGGGCATCCACACTACGACACATATCATGATATTGCTCGTGTTCATTGGCATGCATTCAAAGTACCCGATAATAGTTTAGTGAGTATTCGATGCTCATTTGAGATCTGCTCGGATATTGCCGATTCAACATCTGGAGTCACCAGTTGCGATAGCATACCGTCGGTTAGTGCTTCTCAATGCGTCTTTCCTTCTAGCAAACACTCAATTTTCGCTGTTCATTCAGTTCATTCATGTTTCATTCTTTTCACAACTTACAACTTTATCAGAACAAATTTAATTTCCTGATTGGAACCTCGTCGTATGCAGTCCTTGAAAATTGGCTAGCGAAAACATTATTGCTTCGTAGTCTTTGCAACGAGAGTCGATGTTCTGACTGTGATCATCTGCTCAGAATCATTTCCAAGTCAACAAAATGGATGATATTTTAGCCGCCATTTTGTCCCGATTTGATCACATCGCCGTCAAACTCGATATTGTTCGACAATAACGGCAATCTGGTGCGTAAACGAAGCGTACCTGATTCGGCACATCAACACGTTCATGCGGATATTTGTTTTGGAGAAGCGAATGACAATGATTACTGCAATTCAGACGAGTTTCGCGCTGAAAAAACAAAATATCTCCAGAAAATAACAGGTTTCTTGCGTGTTCACAACTGTCTCGAGTGGAGCAATGATTCTGTTGGCCTGCTTAATCTCTAATCAGGACAACAGAATCATAGAAAGCCTTTGCTTTCTCGGGGTGATTTACGATTGCACGGCAAGAATTTGATCAAAATGTTTAGAAATCGTAATACTTGAAGAAATGGAATGCATTTTTGTATGGAAAATCACCATTAGATGATGACCAGCAAAAAAAAANAAAAAAAAACACACCAATTACCCGTTCGATCGAACGGCTAATAGCTTATTTTGCAGCATCCGAACGTTTTTGTGTATCTCGAATCTGGCTGAGTGTATGCACGGGTTTGTCTCTATGGACAACGCTTCTTGCGATTGGCGTTCACGGGTATTGTCGCCGACGTTCAAGACGGAAGCGAAAGCCAATCAATTCTAATGGCAATTCACTCGTACAAACTACTTCAGTATTGCAAATTGCTTGCAAATCTAATCACGAATTTAATATGGCTCAAAACTATTCTTTTGCATCTTTTGACAACACACATCAAACAACATCTTTATAGTGAACGATAGTGTTGAGTTGAGTGCGCAATTAAATTTTATTCAAATTTGAGCTTTATTTCTCGAGGCACTGATAGTATTAAGAAATAATGTCAGTCATCATCATTGCAGTATGTATGGTTACAAGAATTATTTTCATTGTTTTTTCTTTGTTTTGTGAAGTTGTTTCCTTTTGAATGTACGTATTTCTTGTGATTCTTACTTTGATGTGTTATTGAATGCTTTCGTCGATTTGGTGCAATCTTTTCAATCTCTTCAAGATTTATGTTGAATTTGTTCTATGGTAGCAATCGCTTCGGAATCCAATAGATAAACAATATTCATCAATCTATCGTTAACGCCTATAAGTAAACGCAGTTTTTGAGTTTTCACTTGCGGACGTTTTTTTTTNTTCGAGGGCTGCGTAGATCATTCTCACATATTCCCAAATGCATATCCAAAATAACCCAACATGCCAACATGTATAAATGAGTTTCCAGCAATGCGATAGCTGACTGCAGTGCATGCATGCTCTGATGCATCCTCACATTGTTGTTTGTTTCTTCCTTTAAAATCCTTTTCATCAGTGAATTTCACATTAAAAATAATTTACCGTATTCTATTCGATGATTTATCTGTTGTTTGAATACGACAACGAACGCTGAAAATTATTGCAATGCCTTGCAGAAAACGATTTGCATCCTCAAGTGGGATTGTGTAGATGGAAAAAAGTGAGTAGAACTACATTTCGGTGACGTTTTCAATTGCGTGAACAGCGTTGTTTGTCAGCTTGCTGCACTTACCCATTGCTCTTTTTTTTATGGCAGAACGACTTTTGGAATTGAAGATGAAAAACTGGAAAGAATTAGTGAATAACTTACTGATCTATGAGTGTCTCATTCATCTGGAAAATAATTCCGCAATTAAAATGAGAGAAAGAAGTTGAGAAATTCAATTAATTCTTCAAATAATTATGAGTGTAATTGATCATTTCAGTGTGTCGTTCGATAATCTCTTTTCCTTTCAGAAACAATTTTTTTATTTTGAACGGCAACGATTTTATTCTCGATTCTAATCCTATTTCGAACCAATATTCTTTGTGTCAAACAACATTTTCACCACTCCTTAAGACTTTCACTCCAGTTTTTGATGCTCTATTTTGGATTCTCACAGATTTTCAGAAATGTTGGTGCTGCAAAGTTGATTCTAATAGCAAAATTGCTCATGTTGAAAATGGCTTTCTAGTAGGATATTTGAGGCAGTATAGATCGCGTTGTATAATGCTCATTTCTTGTAGAGTGCTGATATGATAGAGCGGTAACCATGTATGTATGAGGCAGCAGTGTCCTTGAATAATGATCACTCGAAATGTATCGTCGCATTCTCAGTGATTCGAGCTTGAAAAACACGCGATACTTGTGAAGAAGTCACTTTTTCTGACAGTGTAAGTGAATGAAACATTGATGCCACATACATAGACATTTAGAA